GTCCTCTAGGGGCGCTGTGGGTCAGAATGGACTCCACGGCAGTGGGTGTGGTTTGGGCTTTGCTTCTGTGAAGATTGACAGCCTTGGAGACCCTGTGGTGCAGTTCCACTCTGTCCTGTAGGGGCGCTGTGGGTCAGAATGGACTCCACGGCAGTGGGTGTGGTTTGGGCTTTGCTTCTGTGAAGACTAACAGCCTTGGAGACACTGTGGGGCAGTTCCACTCCGTCCTCTAGGGGCTGTGTGTGGGAATGCACTCCGCAGCCACAGGTATAAACTAATGAATTTCCGTCCTGCTTACACCGGTTTGATTGGTGTTTTCTTCCTTATTCTCATCATCTCTGTCTCTGGGCTCGAGGTGTGCACCAAGCTGAAGTCACCTCCCCTCCTTGCTGCCCGTCTGAATTTAATGTTGCTCCCAAACTGGATCAAATCCCACCTCCTGCATCCCACCTTCTTTTTCTAACTTTCTTAGGCATGTGTTGTTTCGATCAAACGTTTGGCACTTACCCACACACTGGCATTTTAGGCGTGGGTCCCTCCCAAGCACCACAGAAACCCCTCTCTCCTGGAACCTGGGTCTCCTCTGCACTTTGCTGAGTGCGGCAGAGCTTGAGTTACGTTACAGGCCTCAGGCTCACAGGCAATAACACTCAATGATAAAGGATTAAATTCTTTCCATGGTTTTGTGCTTTACTTTCTAAGCAGGGGTTCCAGTCCCTTCCTTTGGGCTGGAGCCCTGCTGGGAGTCTGCATTTCCACCTCAACTCTCCTGACTGGGAATCCACATTGTAACAAGATCTAGAACATCTGCATTGCAAAGGTCAATTCCCAGTAGGGGCCTGGCTGGAAGGAACTCCAGTAACCAAAGAACAGAATCCAAAGCAATTATGTTACATTAAAGAGGAAGAACTTAAAAGTATTAAAGTCAATAGTTAAGGAGATAATTCATGCCCCACATGATGGGGTTATGTCAGATTTACTGAATATCCTCATTAATTTCGCTCATGCTTTCAACCCCTCAACATACATTTATCTTCACCCAATTCTGTATTGGAGTAAGCACTGTCATACAGGGCTTCTTTAAAATTTTAATTATGGCTATAAAGTTATCTTGTCTCTAAAAC